TGCATTTTGTTATTTTGTGACTATGTCCATTGAATAAAACAGTTTTTGTTTTTGGTTTATCGTAATCAAACGGTCTCTTTGAAAGTAACACTAAAGCTCGACAACAGATTATGGTTTTTGGAAACTGTACAATGTAATTTCCACTAATTTTGAACCCTCCTCATTTCGAACATCCAAGGATGTCAACCCAAAGCGGTGGAGAAACGAGAGTGGGGAGGGAGGCATAGCATGGAAATGCCCAAATTGTGATGGATGGCATGTTGCCACTAAATACGCTACTGGCCCACAAAGTTCCAAAATCAGTTTTTGACATACTTTGCAAGTAAAAACGTAATAGGTGGAGATTACAATGTTTTGTACATACCTCTGGATGTCTAGATGATTTCATCCCTAAGTCTAATTATCGACGCATATCCAAACATTGCTTCAAAAAATGGCTTCAAAAAATAAAAAAAGTAGGCCCCCTATATGGGGTCTGCCGAATATAGTATAGGGGGTATGCGGATTATAGTTGGGTCTGCCGAATATAGTATAGGGGGTCTGCCGAATATAGTTGGGTCTGCCGAATATAGTATAGGGGGTCTGCCGAATATAGTTGGGTCTGCCGAATATAGTATAGGGGGTCTGCCGAATATAGTTGGGGTCTGCCGAATATAGTATAGGGGGTCTGCCGAATATAGTTGGGGTCTGCCGAATATAGTATAGGGGGTCTGCAGATTATAGTTGGGTCTGCCGAATATAGTATAGGGGGTCTGCGGATTATAGTTGGGGTCTGCCGAATATAGTATAGGGGGTCTGCAGATTATAGTTGGGTCTGCCGAATATAGTATAGGGAGTCTGCGGATTATAGTTGGGTCTGCCGAATATAGTATAGGGGGTCTGCGGATTATAGTTGGGTCTGCCGAATATAGTATAGGGGGTCTGCGGATTATAGTTGGGGTCTGCGATCTTCGGATTATACAGGTCTGCGAGCTTCAATCTTCGGATTATACACTACCTATTGACCAGGCTTTCATGTGACATAATGGAAAGAGGTCTCTGGAAGAAGTAATACAAGGTTGAATTTCGAGATTTAACATGGAAACAGATGGCAAATGAATTACCGAAGTCGGTCCCGTCTCACACTTTTACTGATTAAAATGGAATTATCTCCCTTTGGTTAGGATTTGCTTAATCAGACTTAAACCGCTTGATACATGTACAACTAACTATACAAGTAAACTAACTAGAATGTGACTTTTAATAAAGTCTATTATATGGTGTAATTAAACATTGCATTCCCCTTATAAGAAACTGTAGAGATGGATCAAGACATCGACCAATATTATTAAACAGATTGAGTCTCCTGATAATTATAATAACATAGACATAACCCCCAATCCCAAACCACAAAAGCAACTTTTCTAGACCACTTTTCAACTTAAATGGTAGATTGGTGTATATTATTAGTAGATGGTGTATATTGGTATATATTGACGGTAGATAGTGTATATTGGTGTATATTAATGGTAGATGGTGAAGAGTGGTGTATGTTATTAGTAGATATTGTTGTAGATTGGTGTATATTATTAGTGGATGGGGTATATTATTAGTAGATGATGTATATTATTATGAGATGGTGTATATTATTAGTAGATGGTGTATATTGGTATATATTGATGGTAGATGTTGTAGATTTGTGTATATTATTAGCAGATGGTGTAGATTGGTGTATATTAATGGTAGATGGTGAAGAGTGGTGTATATTAATATAAGATAACGTTCAGAGGAGTATATCAATGATATATGTTGTAGAATGGTGTATATTAATAGAAGATGACGTTGAGTGGTATATATTAATCATATATGTTGTAAAATGGTGTATATTAATAGAAGATGTTGTAGAGTGGTGTATATAAATAGAAGATGATGTTGGGTGGTGTATATTAATAGAAGAAGATGTTGAGTGGTGTATTTTGATAAAAATGACGTTGAGTGGTGTATATCAATGATATATGTTGTAGACTGGCGAATATTAATATGTTGAGTGGTATATATTAATCATATATGTTGTAAAATGGTGTATATTAATAGAAGATGTTGTAGAGTGGTGTATATTAATAGAAGATGTTGTAGAGTGGTATATATTAATCATATATGTTGTAAAATGGTGTATATTATAGAAGATGTGA